ATGGGGCCCCCCAGGCAATAAGGGGATCATGGGGCCCCTGTGTCCTCGCCCACAATCAAACCACACCCAAAAAAGCCTATGAAAAGGTACCAGGGGCATCTCATGGGGCCTCCTACTGACCCAGGGCCCTCGGGCACTGCCCGAGTTCCCAAATGATCAGTCCGCCCCTGTTCCCAACTTTACTGGGTGCACCTTGGGGGGGTCTCACAACTAGGCTGCCTTTACTGCCCCACCTTTGTTGGATTCTCTTTAAATAAATAAATAAATCAATGCAATCTTACAATGGCACAATAGGGTAGTCAGCCATAGTCCAAGGGGAATCCACCAAGTGCTGAATGAACAGTTTTGGGACGGACGGGCTCTTTAATGCACCCCCTTGGCAGCAATTTTCACCATAGCCTGCCCTTCTGGGGCATATGGTTCCCATTACTTCACAAGATCAGCCATTCTCCACCAGGGTTCCATGAAAGCCCAGGGTTCCTCAAAAGGTTACCAGGGGCTTCTTGGGTTTTAATAGAGAAAACTCCTCGGTTCTTTGAGGGCAGCAAGGCGTAGATATTCCAAGACATTCGTTGTGTGATCCCTATGACATCCCTAAGCGTAGGAGTATTTGGGTTTTCCACTTTCGCTTCTTGGGTTTTCACTGAATGACCTCCCATTTGATGGTGCCTGCATGGTTCCAGGACCAAAACCACTTGGCAACGCCAGCAGGATGACACCAGTAACAGTCTGTAGGGGTGACCTTCCTTCTACTGACCATCAATGTAAGGGACATTTTTTCCATTGGACCACAAAAAAAGTTAATTTTAGCAGGGGTTCCCCAAGACCCCAAAATTATATAAGGGGTTCTTCTGGGGTAAAACGGTTAGGAAAATGTGCTCCAGAAACGACATAAATTCCATTGGACCACACAAATGTTAATTTTAGCAGGGGTTCCCCGAGACCCCAAAATTATATTAGGGGTTCTTCCTGGGGTAAAACGGTTAGGAAAATGTGCTCCAGAAGGACATAAATTCCATTGGACCACAAAAATGTTGATTTTAGCAGGGGTTCTCCGAGACCCCAAAATTATTTTAGGCGTTCTTCTGGGGTAAAAAGGTTAGGAAAACGTGCTCCAGAAGGACATACATTGTGTGAATGTTTCAAATGCTGCCCTTCTACTGACCATCAATGTATGGAACATTTTTTTCCATTGGACCACAAAAAAGTTGATTTTAGCAGGGGTTCCCCGAGACCCCAAAATTATTTTAGGGGTTCTTCTGGGGTAAAAAGGTTAAGAAAACGTGCTCCAGAAGGACATAAATTCATTGGACCACAAAAATGTTGATTTTAGCAGGGGTTTCCTGAGACCCCAAAATTATTTTAGGGGTTCTTCTGGGGTAAAACGGTTAGGAAAGTGTGCTTCAGAAGGACATAAATTCCATTGGACCACAAAAATGTTGATTTTAGCAGGGGTTCCCCAAGACCCCAAAATTATTTTAGGCGTTCTTCTGGGGTAAAAAGGTTAGGAAAACGTGCTCCAGAAGGACATACATTGTGTGAATGTTTCAAATGCTGCCCTTCTACTGACCATCAATGTAAGGGACATTTTTTCCATTGGACCACAAAAAAAGTTAATTTTAGCAGGGGTTCCCCAAGACCCCAAAATTATATTAGGGGTTCTTCTGGGGTAAAACGGTTAGGAAAACGTGCTCCAGAAGGACATACATTGTGTGAATGTTTCAAATGCTGCCCTTCTACTGACCATCAATGTATGGAACATTTTTTCCATTGGACCACAAAAAAGTTGATTTTAGCAGGGGTTCCCCGAGACCCCAAAATTATTTTAGGGGTTCTTCTGGGGTAAAAAGGTTAAAAAAACGTGCTCCAGAAGGACATAAATTCCATTGGACCACAAAAATGTTGATTTTAGCAGGGGTTCCCCAAGACCCCCAAAATTATTTTAGGTGTTCTTCTGGGGTAAAACGGTTAGGAAAGTGTGCTTCAGAAGGACATAAATTCCATTGGACCACAAAAATGTTGATTTTAGTAGGGGTTCCCCAAGACCCCAAAATTATTTTAGGCGTTCTTCTGGGGTAAAAAGGTTAGGAAAACGTGCTCCAGAAGGACATACATTGTGTGAATGTTTCAAATGCTGCCCTTCTACTGACCATCAATGTAAGGGACATTTTTTCCATTGGACCACAAAAAAAGTTAATTTTAGCAGGGGTTCCCCAAGACCCCAAAATTATATTAGGGGTTCTTCTGGGGTAAAACGGTTAGGAAAATGTGCTCCAGAAGGACATAAATTCCATTGGACCACACAAATGTTGATTTTAGCAGGGGTTCTCCGAGACCCCAAAATTATTTTAGGGGTTCTTCTGGGGTAAAACGGTTAGGAAAATGTGCTCCAGAAGGACATACATTGTGTGAATGTTTCAAATGCTGCCCATAACCAGCATGCAACAAGGAGGAGGAGTTCCATTCATGGCACCACCTGGGTTTGGTCAGTCATGGCTGGTCATGAGGTTTCTTCATCATGCTCAGGGTCGGACTGACCATTTGGAAACTCGGGCACTACCCGAGGGCCCGGGGTCAGTAGGGGGCCCCATGAGATGTCCCTGGTACCTTTTTCATAGGCTTTTCTGAGTTTGGGCAAGGACACAGGGGCCCCATGATCTCCTATTGCCCGGGGGCCCCATGAGTTGTCAGTCCACCCCTGATCATGCTATTGCTGATGATGAGATTGAAGGTAGAGTTCAGGCATCAATAATATTGAACAGTAAATCTCGTCTATCGCTTGCTTTGCATTTGATGATCATTTGAATGGGAAGCCATCTTTACATCACCAGAGATGGTCAGCTTGGAATTTTCCCCCAATTTTCTGTTCCTCCCTGCCAACAGAGAACACTGCCTGAGATCACACGTATTGAATGGTCTGTAATATGATGTTGCTATTTTTCTCTTGTTTATTGGAAATAGAGGATTATCAGATATCTAAAACGACTCCTTCCTATAGCTGGTTGTCTGTTAATGTGGCAATCATTCGTTTATTTGCAGTGATTAGCCGTCCATCAGTGTACAATGATGTTTGTTTACTGTGACAAGCAAGCTATCAACATATTGGTAATTACCCTGTTTAATGTCATTAAAAATTCATTAGGGATTGCCATTTACCTCCCTTGTCCCTCAAAATAGTTCTCTGTATTTGCAGCAAGTCTGAAAAAAAACAACACGGTGATTTCTGAGGTATCATCTGAAAGAAAAGCCAAATATCTCTATTATTAAACTTCCATTGATTTTGTATATTGTATGACTTTTAGAAATCCGTAAGTGATAGGATCAGTTGTGTGCTCTGGGTTGGATAGAAGTCCATTAATGATTTGTGATGGAATCGAACATGACTGGAACGTTCCATAAGATTTGGAAAAATTCATTCCGCGTTCAATCCGAAGATATAGCTAACTTCGGATGCTTGAATTTTCCCAAAAAGGCACATTTGCGACGGAGAAAATAGTGACAGAGAAAAAATGGGGCAATTTTTGGGGATCTCTGGGAAGGCCGCAGACAAGGCGCGCTGACCCATAATGCATTCATAGACATGTGATCGCATTAGCCAATCAGCAGCCAGCCAGCACTGTGTAATGGTGGAGCTATAAATCGCGGCCATCTTAGAATTCTCCATTACCTCCGTCATTCAAGAGAGACAGACCTGTGTGTATTAAGGACAGAGTTAGGGCCACAGAGATTTTAGGGCCACAGAATTTTACTCAGGGACACAGAATCGTTACTCAGGGACGAGCGAATTCGGCGAATTCGGCAAATCAGCCGAACCGAATTTTTTGAATAATTCGCTCATCTCTAGTTGTGATGGCTACTGGACGTTCAAAAGTGTGTTCAGTTTCAAGTCGAAGTATCTAAGGGGTTTGGTTTACTAAAGGCAAATTTTGCTTGAGGTGATTGTAGCCATATTAGTGCACTTGCGACAGAAACAGTTGAGTGACGTGATACTCTTTTTTTATTTGCACAAAATACAATTTTGCGGACAAGCTTTCAAATGTCCCCTTCTTCAAGGTCCAGGCAATACTCAAGGCAAATAAAACTGTTCACTCTGCCAGGGAATTTTCACTTAGCTCAATGAGTGAGATAAAGCTCTGTTGACTTCCACCATCCATTCATGTGCAATCAAAGAATACTTCTTTTTATTTTCCTTGCAGGTGATTCTCTGCAAAGTGAATTTTCACAGCATTCACAAAGTTAAGTGAAAATTTCCTTGAAACGTTAAATGCCTATTTGCCTTTAGTATATCAACCCCAAAGTGTCTTCTGTGTTGACTAAAGATCCATCAGTGCATTATGGGCTCAACCAAAGTTTCAGCAACACGTTAAAGGCTTTAACATCCATCAGTATGTTCTGCGTGAGGAAAAGGTCCATCAGTGTGTTCTGTGTGAGGAAAAGGTCCATCGGTGTGTTCTGTGTGAGGAAAAGGTCCATCAGTATGTTTCTGTGTGAGGAAAAGGTCCATCGGTGTGTTCTGTGTGAGGAAAAGGTCCATCAGTATGTTCTGTGTGAGGAAAAGGTCCATCAGTGTGTTCTGTGTGAGGAAAAGGTCCATCAGTATGTTCTGTGTGAGGAAAAGGTCCATCAGTGTGTGTTCTGTGTGAGGAAAAGGTCCATCAGTATGTTCTGTGTGAGGAAAAGGTCCATCAGTATGTTCTGCGTGAGGAAAAGGTCCATCAGTGTGTTCTGAGTGAGGAAAAGGTCCATCAGTGTGTTCTGTGTGAGGAAAAGGTCCATCAGTGTGTTCTGTGTGAGGAAAAGGTCCCATCAGTGTGTTCTGTGTGAGGAAAAGGTCCATCAGTGTGTTCTGTGTGAGGAAAAGGTCCATCAGTGTGTTCTGTGTGAGGAAAAGGTCATCAGTGTGTTATGTGTGAGGAAAAGGTCCATCAGTGTGTTCTGTGTGAGGAAAAGGTCCATCTCTGTGTCTTGTACTGACAAGAGGTCTACAAGAGTTTTTTTTTTTTCGTGTCGGCTAGAGGATCACCATTGTTTTGTGTGTTGATAAATCTGTCTAAAAGACGGAACGTGTTCTGTATGGGCTGGAGATCTGTAGATGTGTCCTGTGCAGACTAGAGGCCCTTCAATGTATTTTGTGCAGATTACAGGTCTGTGCAGACAGGAGGTCAGTTAGTATGTATGGTGTAGAGTCGACTACAGGTCCAGAAATGTGTTTTGTGTGAATGAAAGGTCCATCAATGCATTCTCTGCATACAAGAAGTCTGTCAATGTGTTCTGTGTAGACTAGTGGTCCATCAATGTGTTCTGTGTAGACTAGTGGTCCAGCAATGTGCTCTGTGCAGATTAGAGGTCCATAAATGTGTCCTGTGCAGATTAGAGGTCCATCAATGTGTTCTGTGAAGACTAGTGGTCAATGTGTCCTGTGCAGATTAGAGGTCCAGCAATGTGCTCTGTGCAGATTAGAGGTCCATCAATGTGCTCTGTGCAGATTAGAGGTCCATCAATGTGTTCTGTGTAGACTAGTGGTCCATCAGTGTGTTCCATGCTGATGAAAGGTCCCTCAATGTGTTCAATGCATACAAGAGATCCATCAATGGCCTTCAATGTGTTCTGTTCAGGATAGGGGTCCAATAATGTGCTCTGTTCAGAATAGAGGTCCATCAATGTGTCCTGTGCATACAGAAGGTCTGTCAATGTGTTCTGTGTAGACTAGTGGTCCATCAATGTGTTCTGTGCAGATTAGAGGTCCATCAATGTGTTCTGTGTAGACTAGTGGTCCATCAATGTGTTCTGTGCAGATTAGAGGTCCATCGATGTGTTTCTGTGTAGACTAGTGGTCCATCAATGTGTTCTGTGCAGATGAAAGGTCTCTCTGTGTGTTCTGTGTAGACTAGAGGTCCATCAATGTATTCTGTGCAAACAAGATGTCCTTCAATGTGTTCTGTTCAGAATAGGGGTCCATACGGGTCCATCAGTGTGTTCTCTGCATACAAAAGGCCTGTTAATGTGTTCTGTGTAGACTAGTGGTCCATCAATGTGTCCTATGCAGATTAGTAGTCCATCAATGTGTTCTGTGCAGACCTGAGGTCCATCAATATGTCTTGTGCAGACAAGAGGTCCATCAATATGTCTTGTGCAGACAATAGGTCCATCAATGTGTTCTGAGGAGATGAGAGGTCCATCAGTGTGTTCTGTGCAGATAAGAGGTCCATCAATATTTCTTGTGCAGACAAGAGGTCCATCAATATGTCTTGTGCAGACAAGAGGTCCATCAATATGTCTTGTGCAGACAAGAGGTCCATCAATATGTCTTGTGCAGACAATAGGTCCATCAATGTGTTCTGAGGAGATGAGAGGTCCATCAGTGTGTTCTGTGCAGATAAGAGGTCCATCATTGTGTTCTGTGCAGATAAGAGGTCCATCATTGCGTTCTGTGCAGATAAGAGGTCCATCATTGTGTTCCGTGTACCCTAGAGGTTCATCAATGCATTCTCTGCAGATGAGGAGTCTATTAATGTGTTTTAAGTTGTCTAAATGCTCATCAATGTGTGATGTACTGACCAGAGGTCCAGTATTGTATTATGAGCTGTCTAGAGCATCATCAATGTGTGCTGAGCTAACTAGAGGGCTGTCAATTTGTTCTGCATTTACTAGAGCTGTGATAATGGGTTCTCTACACCACAGGTCCATGAACCTATTATATGTTGACTAAAGGTCTATGACTATGCTTCATGTCAGCTGGCGGTGTATCATTATGTTCCCCATCAACTAGAGGTCTATCAGTATGTTATGTACCAACCAAGTATCTGTTATGTTCCATGTCCATTAGGGGTTTATCAATATGTTCTGAAGCGTTTAAAGATCAGTAGTGTTTACAAACTAGAGATACATTAATGTGTTCTCATTGATCAGACGTGTTCTGTAATAAATAAAATATCAATATATTATGTGTTGCTACAGTAGGTACACCTATCGTGGTTGAACGGTTTGGGGTGGTGTACATTGGGTATCATCACTGTTCTGGTATTCTGAGAGGAAGAGATCGAAAGTATTATGCACTAGAAGACCATCAATGTTCTGCACTTTGCACTGAAAAGATATTGATTAGGTCGTTTTGGTGTGTTTGGAGGTTATTTTATTACAAAAGAGTATTTGGTGCAAATAGATGGCCACTGCTGCTTGATCCACATGACTATTGTAACCTATCATTACGTTCTACAACCAGGGGCGGACTGACCATTTGGAAACTCTGGCACTGTCCGAGGGCCCAGGGTCAGTAGGGGGCCCCATGAGATGCCCCTGGTACCTTTTTCATAGGCTTTTTTGAGTTTGGGCAAGGACACAGGGGCCCCATGATCCCCTATTGCCCGGGGGCCCCATGAGTCGTCAGTCCGCCCCTGTCTACAACTATCCATCATTATTCTTGCACGTCCACGCAGGGGCGGACTGACCATTTGGGAACTCGAGCACTGCCCGAGGGCCTGGGATCAGTAGAGGGCCCCATGAGATGTCCCTGGTACCTTTCATAGGCTCTTCTGGGTGTGGTTTGAGTGTGGGTGAGGACACATGGGCCCCATGATACCCTATTGCCCGGGGGCCCCATGAGTTGTCAGTCCGCCCCTGCTTGAAGATATACATCGGTACATACTAACGTGTATTATGAGTCAATACTTTTTTTACAATTTGCATGAAAAAAAATTAAGAACATGGCTAAAATATTCGGAACAAAGACAAGAGATTTAAAACACATATCAATACCCCAGTACTGGATTGGAGAGTAAAACCCCTATAGTGCTTTTCATCTGTTGTACAGATAATACAATAAACGGCGTTCAAGTACGCTTGTCCAAATCCAGATGTCAACGCGTTTCACGGTGGAATTGCTTCATCAGGACCAATGGGTATAAAGGTAAAAACTAAATATTACAGATCACTATTCACAAGTAGATAATAATATATGTTGATTTAACAGGTAATAATTACTATTGTGTTCTTCGTTCTGCAATTTTGTTTAAATATCTATTTTTTTACCTTCATACCCAATGGTCCTGATGAAGCAATTCCACCGTGAAACGCGTTGACTCCTGGATTTAGACAAGCCTATTTGAACACCGTTTATGTATTATCTGCACAACACATGAAAAGAACTATAGGTGTTCTGAGTATTGATATGTATATTAAATCTCTTGGGGACATTGTCTTTGTTTCAGATATTTTAACTATGTTGTTCTGATTTTATTGCAGATTGTAATAAATTTATTGATATTTAATTCGATATCTTGTGATATACCAGTAAAGTCCGTTAATTGTGGGAGGTGGAAGGTAGTTTATACTCCATTCTGCTCCATATTTCTCTAGTTGATTTTTGGATGTGGCACCTTGAAAGTCTCTATTGATTCATTACTGTGTATTATGATTACTACATTTATTGTCTCCTAGAACCCCAATCTCATAACAGAAGCCTTGTATAATAGGTAGGGCTGCAGTTAGAAACCACGGGGCCCCATACAGCCAACCCCCCTCCCAAAAAACCCCTATGCTTCAGCTATGAATGAACACACTAAGCGATCGGTACTGATTCGGGAAAGGAAGGGGCTGGTTAATGTGACATATTTACCAGATCTTGCCCCCACTCTCCATCCTGAAGGATCCCATTGTGTGCTTGCTGCTGCCAGTGGGAAGGAGAGGAGGGAAGCCGGCAGCACTGCAGGGGTGAGGGCACACAGGGGGCCTGGCAGCAGGGGGAAATGTATGGTGTACAGGGCGGGTGATGGATGCGGTGGTGGTGGGGGGCCAATTACCCCCCGATCCCTTGTATGGCTCTCTTTGCAGCAGCTTAAAGCCAGCGGGAGAGAGAAGAGAAGAAGCCGGCTTTCAGCTGCTGCAGGGGATCAGTTCCAGTAATTGCCCCCCTACCATGCCCATCACCCTGCTTGCCCACATCCAATTCACCCAGCTGCCTGGGCCAGTGGTGTATTTAGGTCTTGTGCTGCCCTAGGCAACACAAAAAAATCGTCTGCCCCCATGGACACGACCAACACCACCCCCCTTTCCCCCTCCCGTAGAGAGAGCCTGACATTGACCAACAACACCCCTGCCCCCCACCTGGGAGAACCTTTCACTACCCCCCTTCCCAGCGATAGAGAGAAAGACACCCATCTTCACAGCTCCGGACATCTCTGATGAGAGTCAGGCTCTATCAGGGGTGGACTGACAACTCATGGGGCCCCCGGGCAATAGGGGATCATGGGGGCCCCCTGTGTCCTTGCCCAAACGTAAAAAAGCCTATTAAAAAGGTACCAGGGGCATCTCATGGGGCCCCCTACTGACCCCGGGCCCTCGTGCAGTGCCTGAGTTTCCAAATGGTCAGTCCGCCTCTGATATATATATATTATATTCACATCAGTCCCCGCCCCCGAGGAGCGTACATTCTAAGGTCCCTAACTTACATTCATACATACACATACTAGGGCCAATTAACCTACCAGCATGTCCTTGGAGTGTGGGAGGAACCAGAGTACCTGGGGAAAACCCACACAGACACAGGGAGAAACACACCAACTCCTGGGCTCTACATATACCATCAAGCAGCTCGCAGCCTCTCTTGGTTCCCATGTCCCTTCTTCCATCCCTTCTTCTGGGGGGATGTGCTGCCTCCCTGAAAAATGCCACCCTAGTGCCATGTTTGCCTTGTGTTAAATACGCCACTGGCCTGGGCCCCCCTGCTGGCCTGGACCCTGTACAGGAGGACTGGGTGTTACCCACCATGGCCCTAAAACTAGTTGGTCTCCTAAACAAAGGACTATAAATGGTATACCCTTTGGACTAGCGGGAATGTGGTCCACCAGATATCAGGTATTTTAGGGACACACAATATAACTATATGGTATATGCCATCAATATTTTCGATGGGGGTTGGCATTGGCCAGCTGCCTCCTGGGATTTTTTTCTGCTCTGGTTCAACATAATACTTAACAATTCTCTGTTTACTGAAAGGAAGGTCTAGGATTGTCTTGGTGGGATTCAGAGCTTTGTTAAGCTGCCTCTATGCCCTCTCGCTGTCTTGCGGTGATAAGTATATGGATTTTCGCCCCGTTCACACTTTACGTTGGCCTCAGACTAGGACTGAACTCAAAATAGACGTGTCAATGGGGGGGCTTGTGCGCAGAATGTCATGTGTTTGTGGTTTGCTTTAATCAGCGGCTAATGTGACACTAGAAGGACAGGAGTGGAGGATCTGATTACATTCGATGTCCAGGGTCAAAGGTAACCCAGAGGATATGACTGGCTACAATGTGATCAGGCCCTTCCAGGCACTAATGGGCTTTCCAGTGCTTGGAGGAAGTTGTCTGAACTGTGTGGACATGAGCTGCCACCTACAATTAGGCTCTGCTGGGGTGAAAGACCAAGATGGGGGGGGGGGGGGGGAGCAGGCGCAAGCCCATTCCCCACACACAAATAGATCCTCCACCAGGAGCGGATTTTTATCTTCCCATTTATCAGAGGCAATCTGCATTGATTAAACCAACAAGGGCCGGTCTGTGAGTGTACATTCACTTCATTAAGTCTGGGGATTACTCAAGGTTGCCAATGTAATCAAGCACCAAGCAGCCTGGGATTTGTGAGCGGGATCAGTTTTAATAATGGGGGGCAGGAGGAGGCCAGAGAAGAAGTGTCAGGCAATGCATGTGCATATTCAGAGGAACCAGGGAACTGCCTCTTACCACTCATGGGGCTTACATGTCACCAGACAGCCAGAAAACAAATGAGCTACAACAATAAACACAGATAACAATTACAAAGGCAAACATTGGCTTTTGGGAACGAGTAGCCGGAGAAGACGGGATACATTAACAAAGTAGGCGAATGTTTGAAAGATAAACTCTGCCTAAATCAAGTGTGACGGGAGGAGAGGGAGACACAGGCAGGAGGAGAGAGGCACAGATAAGGGAATATATTATTATTATTAGAGGGGGAATAGAATGACACGTCTTACACTGCCTGCTTCATTATTTCATTACACTTTCTCTTTTCTCTACTGGGGTCACATAATCCGGATGCCAATTATCTTGTTGTGTGCTGTAAGCAGCTATGTACATAACTTATGTAAGGGAACATCTGTGGATGACAGACACCCCTTGGGGATTTGGGGGTACAGGTGCACGGTGCTGGCCTAGGACAGACATCGGAAAGTGCTGTCAGCTGGGTTGCCCTCAGTCTACTTTTTTCGGTACAATTCAAAGAATGTGACTAATGATCAAGTCATTCAAAATAACCACCTGTGACCAATGGGACAGAAGTTTCACTTATTAGGCTTTATGTGTTTTCTGAAAAATGCTTCTTGGTGAATCGAGGTTGTGGCGGGCAGAACGACTATTTTTAATGCGCTAGTGTAGGTGGGAAAAGGAAACTGCAATCAGAAACAAATGAACCTACCTCAGCCTAGGGGTGTAGAGATGTCGGGTGTTCTCTTGCCATGCCTAGGTATGGACAACATAGGGGTGTTGAGATGTGGGGACTTTGCTCATTATATCAAGGTATGGACAATCTAGGAGTGTAAAGATGTGGGGTGTTGGTTCACCATCTCTAGGTATGGACAAGGTTAGGGTGTAGAGATGTGGGGTGGTGGCTCACTATGCCTAGGTATGGACAACATAGGGGTGTTGAGATGTGGGGACTTTGCTCATTATATCAAGGTATGGACAATCTAGGAGTGTAAAGATGTGGGGTGTTGGTTCACCATCTCTAGGTATGGACAAGGTTAGGGTGTAGAGATGTGGGGTGGTGGCTCACTATGCCTAGGTATGGACAACATAGGGGTGTTGAGATGTGTGGGGACTTTGCTCATTATATCGAGGTATGGACAATTCACGCTCGCCTCCAGGACTTCTCCAGAGCCTCTCCCATCCTCTGGAACTCCCTACCACAGCATGTCCAGTCAGCCCCCACCCTGTCTTCCTTTAGGCGATCTTTGAAAACTCACTCATTCAGGGAAGCCTACCCCACCTCCACCTAAGAACTGTACTTGAATCACCTCCACCAGATCATCCCCCGTAGCTATCACCTTTTGTATCACCTCCCCCTTCCTTTAGATTGTAAGCTCCAGGAGCCGGGCCCTCCTGTTCCTTCTGTAGTGAAATGTATTGTAATTGTACTGTCTCCCTTATATTGTAAAGCGCTGCGCAAACTGTTGATGCCATATAAATCCTGTATAATAATAATAATCTAGGGGTGTAAAGATGTGGGGTGTTGGTTCACTATGTCTAGGTATGGACAACATAGGGGTGTACAGATGTGATGTGTTTTCTCGCCACGCCTAGGTATGGACAGCATAGGGGTGTTGAGATGTGGGGTCTTTGCTCATTATGTCAAGGTATGGACAATCTAGGGGTGTAAAGATGTGGGGTGTTGGTTCACCATCTCTAGGTATGGACAAGGTTAGGGTGTAGAGATGTGGGGTGGTGGCTCACTATGTCTAGGTATGGACAACATAGGGGGGTGTAAAGATGTGATGTGTGTTGGCTCACTATGTTTGGGTATGGACAAGGTTAGGTCTAGGTAGAAGATGTTGGGGTGGGGTGGTGGCTCACTATGTCTAGGTAGGATGGACAACCTATGGGTGTAAAGTATGTAGGGGGGTGTTGGCTCACTATGTCTAGGTATGAACAAGGTTGGGGTGTAGAGATGACAGTGTGGGGTGGTGTTTGGCTCTACTGTATCTAAGAATGGACAACCTATGGGGTGTGTAAAGATGTGAGATGTGTTGGCTCACTATGTCTAAGTATGGCCATGTTGGGTGTTGGCTCTAGGTATGGAGTGTTTGCCTCTATAGGGGTGTAGGGATGTGGGGTGGTGGCTCACTATGTCTAGGTATGGACAGTGTAGGAGTTGTAGAGATGTTGGGTGTTGGCTCACTATGTTAGGTATGGACAGTGTAGGGGTGTAGAGATGTTTGCTCACTATGTCTAGGTAAGGACAGTGTAGGGGTGTAGAGATGTTGGCTCACTATGTGTAGGATATGTACAGTGTAGGAGTGTAGAGATGTTGGGTGTTGGCTCACTATGTCTAGGTATGTACAGTGTAGGAGTGTAGAGATGTTGGGTGTTGGCTCACTATGTCTAGGTATATGGACAGTGTAGGGGTTGTAGAGATGTTGGATGTTGGGTGTTGGCTCACTATGTCTAGGTATGGACAGTGTAGGGGTGTAGAGATGTTGGAGATGTTGGCTCACTATGTCTAGGTATGGACAGTGTAGGGGTGTAGAGATGTTGGGTGTTGGCTCACTATGTCTGGGTATGGACAGTGTAGGGGTGTAGAGATGTTGGATGTTGGCTCACTATGTCTGGGTATGGACAGTGTAGGGGTGTAGAGATGTTGGGTGTTGGCTCACTATGTGTAGGTATGGGCAGTGTAGGAGTGTAGAGATGTGCAGTGTTGGCTCACAATGTCTAGATATGGACAACCTAGGGGTGTAAAGATGTGGGGTGTTGGCTCACTATTTCTAGGTATTGGTTCTATTGATGTGTTTCATCTGCTTTCTCACCGCGTAGCTGCTATTGGAGAGTAGTCATCTCTGAGGTTTTATCTCATATTGAAATATATGGACACTGGAAATAAAACCAATATAAACATAATAATAATACTAATAATACGTGACCCGGGCTATTTCACCTAACTAGTGAACTGCTACATGGTCACAATAAATCCTTCTTGACAAACTTTCTATAAATAGATCACTATTACATATATTTACTGAAGGAGTCATTCTTCATGGTAGCTTAATTTTCACTTGAAATATCCAACAGATTAAGTTTGCCTGAAAGTGACCAGAAACTTTCATTGTGCACAGGCTATGGTGAAAATTACTTATTCAATAATTCACCCCGCAGTGTGCATCAGAGACGTTGTTAGATTCTGGCACCCAGGGACACGTGCCCCAGGTCTCCCTGTGAGTGCCCCAGGTCTTCATGTGAGTTCTCCAGGTCTTCCTGTGAGTGCCCCAGGTCTTCACGTGAGTGCCCCGGGTCTTCCTGTGAGTGCCCAGGTCTTCATGTGAGTGCCCCAGGTCTTCATGTGAGTGCCCTAGGTCTTCATGTGAGTGCCCGGGTCTTCATGTGAGTGCCCCAGGTCTTCATGTGAGTGCCCCAGATCTTCCTGTGAGTTCCCCAGGTCTCCTTTGAGATATGGAAACAATTTGCATTATATAGATTTGGAACGTTGTAGTTTTCGATCCAGCTATATTTACTTTGTCACCATAATGTGACATTGCTATGTTTGACCAAATTATTTTTGTTCAGTTAAAATATTAGTCTTGGATTTGAACCAAAGTAGTCTTTATGGTATCCCCCCATCCCCTCAACATTTTAATCTGTGTGGATCCCCTGGTCTATTAGAATCCTAGAAACTCCCCTGATGTACATGATGGTCATCGGTGGTTGCCCAGATGTCTCCATCTCCAAGTCCTGGTATATCCTGTTGGCTTTGGAACATCATGGTGGAATCTTTATTCCTTCAACAGTATGGTTACTCATATAAAATATTAAAATATTAGTCTTAGATTGGAACCGAAATAGTGTTTATGGTATCCTCCCAGCCCCTCAGCATTTTAATCTGTGTGCCCAGAGGTGCCCTTGGTCTAATAGGATCCTTAAAATACCCCTGGTGTACATGATGATTATCAGTGGTTGCCCAGATGCCTCCTTCTCCATGTCCTGGTATATCCTGCTGGCTGTGGTAGGGAACATCATGGTGGAATCTTCATTCCTTCAGCAGTATGGCTGCTTATATAAAATATTAGAATTAGATTGGAACCAAAATAGTGTTTATGGTATCCTCCCAGCCCCTCAACATTTTAATTTGTGTGCCCAGAGGTGCCCCTGGTCTATTAGGATCCTAGGAATAGTAATCAGTGGTTGCCCAGATGCCTCCTTCTCCAAGTCCTGCTCTATCCAGTTGACTGTGTTATGGGACATCATTTTAATCTGTGAGTCCAGAGGTGCCCCTGATCTATTAGGATCCTAGAAATGGTCACCGGTGGTTGCCCAGATGCCTCCTTCTCCAAGTCCTGCTACATCCTGTTGGCCGTGGTATGGAACATCATGGTGGAATCTTTATTCCTTCAGCAGTATGATTGCTTATATAAAATATTAGTCTTAGATTTTAACCAAAGTAGTCTTCATGGTATCCTCCCAGCCCCTAAACATTTTATTCTTGCCCTTGGTCTATTAGGATCCAAAAAATGGTCATCGGTGGTTGCCCAGATGCAGGGGCGGTGACCATTTTTAGGATCCTAATAGACCAGGGGCACCTCTGGGCACACAAATTAAAATGTTGAGGGGCTGGGAGGATACCATAAAGACTACTTTGGTTCAAATCTAAGACTAAAATTTTATATAAGCAGCCATACTGCTGAAGGAATAAAGATTCCACCATGATGTTCCATACCACGGCCAGCAGTATATACCAGGACTTGGAGAAGGAGGCATCTGGGCAACCACTGATGATCATCATGTACACTAGGGACGTTTCTAGGATCATAATAGACCAGCAGCACCTCTGGGCACACATATTAAAATGTTGAGTGGCTGGGAAGATACCATAAAGACTACTTTGGTTCAAATCTAAGACTAATATTTTATATGGGTAAACATACTGCTGAAGGAATAAAGGTTCCACCATGATGTTCCATACCACAGCCAACAGGATATACCAGGACTTGGAGAAGGAGGCATCTGGGCAACCACTGCTGACCATCATGTACACCAGGGGTATTCCAAGGATCCTAATAGACCAAGGGCATCTCTGGGCTCATGGATTAAAATGTTGAGAGGCTGGGAGGATACCATAAAGACTACTTTGCAGGGCCGGCTGACCATTTGGAAACTTGGGCACTGCCCGAGGGCCCGGGGTCAGTAGGGGGCCCCTTGAGATGCCCCTGGTACCTTTTTCATAGGCTTTTCTGAGTTTGGTCAAGGACAAGGGGGCCCCATGATGCCCTATTGCCCGGGGGCCCTATGAGTTGTCAGTCCGCCCCTGCCCAGATGCCTCCTTCTCCAAGTCCAACTATATCTTGCTGGCTGTGATATGGAACACCATGGTGGAATCTTTATTCCTTCAGCAGTATGATTGCTTATATCAAATATAAGTCTTAGATTTGAACCAAAGTAGTCTTCATGGTATCCTCCCAGCCCCTCAACATTTTCATCTTTCCCTTGGTCAATTAGGATCCTAAAAATGTCATCGGTGGTTGCCCAGATGCCTCCTACTCCAAGTCCTGCTCTATCCTGTGGGCCGTGGTATGGACCATCTTTATTGGCTGCCCATACCTCAATCCTCCAGCGACCTTCTTGATACAATGAATTGTCTTTTACAAGTCTTGCAGGGGATGGAGCAGCTTTGTAATTGGGAGGAAAGAAGATGTCCTCAGTTGGGGAAAATAAAAGTTTAGTTTGTGTCTGCCGGCTCTCACTTCGGAAAAGGGGGGCAGTCGGGTGAACGAGGAGAGAGAGAGAGAGAGAGGGGCTTTGGTTTAAAGAATTAAATGTTTACCAGCCTGAAATAAGCCCAGTTAAAAAAGAGACATTGAAGAGATGAGACAGGGTACAACTTCAAAGAATTCATCCGGGCTGGTGGAGGGGAGATTTAGCGACAGTATTGGGAAGTTATTTAGATATTAATAACACATTTTCCTGAGGCGCTAGGATTGCACTTTTTCTTCAAGCTATTTGGCTGGGTGGAATATGGCGCAGTGAAATGTTGGGGAGAGATAACAGAATCAGCAGCCCGGGTCCTGCGACTGCATCATTGCATTAAACTGGGATTAACCTTCTAGTTCCCCCCCCCCCCCCCACCCTCACAGCTATCCAAATTTTTATAGAAATGTACATGGCAGGATTTGAAATCACATCTTGCGGAGTCCTCAGAGCTGGGGGGATACCTGCCTATAGCAGGCGTCCTTTCATGTGCGCGTTGTCAGACACAAATGGCGTTTAATGGTAAGACGGTGACCTGTATTAATTTTACCTCCTATCTCCTCCATTCTGCAATCAGCCTGTGATAGGATTCCCCGCCTGCCTCCGTCTGATCCCCATTATCACTTCGGAGACTCTTACCGAATCTCCTCTCCCGGCACAGAGGGAGAGAGGAGACTTTCCTGACAGATAAAGGGACTCGTCCTTCGGAAAAAGGACGGGATTGTGGAAGGCACATAAGAGGTATTACCGAGGGCACGTGCTGCACACGTCTCCCCACTGTCCACACATGGGCCTGCACACGTCTCCCCGCCGTCCACACATGGGCCTGCACACGTCTCCCCGCCGTCCACACATGGGCCTGCACACGTCTCCCCACCGTCCAACATGGGCCTGCACACGTCTCCCCGCCGTCCACACACATGGGCCTGCACACGTCTCCCCACCGTCCACACATGGGCCTGCACACGTCTCCCCGCCGTCCACACATGGGCCTGCACACGTCTCCCCACCGTCCACACATGGGCCTGCACACGTCTCCCCACCGTCCACACATGGGCCTGCACACGTCTCCCCACCGTCCACACATGGGCCTGCACACGTCTCCCCGCCGTCCACACATGGGCCTGCACACGTCTCCCCACCGTCCACACATGGGCCTGCACACGTCTCCCCGCCGTCCACACATGGGCCTGCACACGTCTCCCCGCCGTCCACACATGGGCCTGCACACGTCTCTCCCGCCGTCCACACATGGGCCTGCACACGTCTCCCCACCGTCCACACATGGGCCTGCACACGTCTCCCCACCGTCCACACATGGGCCTGCACACGTCTCCCCACCGTCCACACATGGGCCTGCACACGTCTCCCCACCGTCCACACATGGGCCTGCACACGTCTCCCCGCCGTCCACACATGGGCCTGCACACGTCTCCCCACCGTCCACAGATGGGCCTGCACACGTCTCCCCCGTCCACACATGGGCCTGCACACGTCTCCCCACCGTCCACACATGGGCCTGCACACGTCTCCCCACCGTCCACACATGGGCCTGCACACGTCTCCCCACCGTCCACACATGGGCCTGCACACGTCCCCCCACCGTCCACACATGGGCCTGCACACGTCTCCCCACCGTCCACACATGGGCCTGCACACGTCTCCCCCCGCTGTCCACACATGGGCCTGCACACGTCTCCCCGCCGTCCACACATGGGCCTGCACACGTCTCCCCCCGCAGGACAGGGTCGGCGCCATTCCGCCATCTAATCGCGGCCGATGGTCCCGCAGACACCGGCATCTTCCAGCAAAAATTACAACTATCATTAGAAGTAACCTTTCTTCCAAAAAAAAAAGAACTGAGATGTGTATCGTCCGGGCCGACTTCCAATGATACAATGCAAACTCTAACCCGGGGTCTCCAAACTGTGGCCCTTTGCTTGCTTGTATCCGGCCCTTGGGGCACTTTTCCTTCCACTGGTACAAAGCACTATTCCTTCCATTGACACCAATGATGGGGCACTATTCCTCCACTGACACCAATGATGGGGCACTATTCCTCCACTGACACCAATGATGGGGCTCTATTCCTCCCACTGACACCAATGATGGGGCACTATTCCTCCCACTGATACCAATGATGGGCCTGCACACTATTCCTCCCACTGACACAATGATGGGGCACTATTCCTTCCACTGACACCAATGATGGGGCACTATTCCTCCCACTGATACCAATGATGGGGCACTATTCCTCCCACTGACACCAATGATGGGGCACTATTCCTCCCACTGACACCAATGATGGGGCACTATTCCTCCCACTGACACCAATGATGGGGCACTATTCCTCCCACTGACACCAATGATGGGGCACTATTCCTCCCACTGATACCAATGATGGGGCACTATTCCTTCCATTGACACCAATGATGGGGCACTATTCCTCCCACTGACACAATGATGGGGCACTATTCCTCCCACTGACACCAATGATGGGGCACTATTCCTCCCACTGACACCAATGATGGGGCACTATTCCTCCCACTGACACCAATGATGGGGCACTATTCCTCCACTGACACCAATGATGGGGCACTATTCCTCCCAATGACACCAATGATGGGGCACTATTCTTCCCACTGATACCAATGATGGGGCTCTATTCCTCCCACTGACACCAATGATGGGGCACTATTCCTCCCACTGACACCAACAATGGGGCACTATTCCTCCCACTGACACCAATAATGGGGCACTATTCCCCCCACTGATATCAATGATGGGGCACTATTCCTCCCACTGACACCAATGATGGGGCACTATTCCTTCTATTGACACCAATGATGGGGCACTATTCCTTCCCACTGACACCAATGATGGGCACTATTCCTTCTATTGACACCAATAATGGGGCGCTATTCCTCCAACTGACACCAATGATGGGGCACTATTCCTCCATTGACACCAATGATGGGGCACTATTCCTCCCACTGATACCAATGATGGGGCACTATTCCTCCCACTGACACCAATGATGGGGCACTATTCCTCCCACTGACACCAATGATGGGGCACTATTCCTTCTATTGACACCAATAATGGGGCGCTATTCCTCCAACTGACACCAATGATGGGGCACTATTCCTTCCATTGACACCAATGATGGGGCACTATTCCTCCCACTGACACCAATGATGGGGCACTATTCCTCCCACTGACACCAATGATGGGGCACTATTCCTTCTATTGACACCAATGATGGGGCACTATTCCTCCCACTGATACCAATGATGGGGCACTATTCCTCCCACTGATACTAATGATGGGGCACTATTCCTCCCACTGACACCAATGATGGGGCACTATTCCTCCCACTGACACCAATGATGGGGCACTATTCCTCCCACTGATACCAATGATGGGGCACTATTCCTCCCACTGACACCAATGATGGGGCACTATTCCTCCCACTGACACCAATGATGGGGCACTATTCCTCCCACTGACACCAATGATGGGGCACTATTCCTCCCACTGACACCAATGATGGGGCACTATTCCTTCTATTGACACCAATAATGGGGCACTATTCCTCCACTGACACCAATGATGGGGCACTATTCCTTCCATTGACACCAATGATGGGGCACTATTCCTTCCATTGACACCAATGATGGGGCACTATTCCTCCCACTGACACCAATGATGGGGCACTATTCCTCCCACTGACACCAATGATGGGGCACTATTCCTCCCACTGATACCAATGATGGGGCACTATTCCTCCCACTGACACCAATGATGTGGCACTATTCCTCCCACTGACACCAATGACGGGGCACTATTCCTCCCACTGACACCAATGATGGGGCACTATTCCTCCCACTGACACCAATGATGGGACACTATTCCTCCCACTGACACCAATGAAGGGTCACTATTCCTCCCACTGACACCAATGATGGGGCACTATTCCTTCCATTGACACCAATGATGGGGCACTGTTCCTCCAACTGACACCAATCCTAGGGTATTGTTTACTCCCACTGGCCACAATCCGCCCCCACAAAGTGTGAAGGGCAGTAAACTGGCCCTTTGTTTCAAACGTTTGGAGACCCCGGCTCTAAGCTATAATGATTTGTGAGGCTTGTGGACGCCCCAAAAAAATTCACTGAAATTTGGTTTTGATAAGTCGAATCCTCAGATTCCTGGATGGAGAGGTCCAATGGGGATGATATTGCTACATAAATTTATAATTTTGCTACATTGAATGTTGGGTGTTGACTCCCCCCCGGTTCACACCTGAGCGTCTTCTGCAGCGTTTTGCAGAAACGCAGTACAGTCCATTTAACATGATTTCGTATAGGACAGGTTCACATCTCCGCGTTTTCACCCGAGTTTTTTTTAAAGGGTCGGGGACTTTTTTGAATGCAAAACATTGCGTTTTTGGTTCTATAGACTTCAATGGGAACGCTGCAGAAAAGTATGTATTGTGTTTTTGCCTACCGGGCACTTCTACCCCCTTCCTGCCTACAGGGACACTTCTACCCCCTTCCTGCCTACCGGGCACTTCTACCCCCTTCCTGCCTACCGGACACTTCTACCCCCTTCCTGCCTACCGGGACACTTCTACCCCCTTCCTGCCTACTGGGCACTTCTACCCCCTTCCTGCCTACAGGGCACTTCTACCCCCTTCCTGCCTACAGGGCACTTCTACCCCCTTCCTGCCTACCGGGCACCTCTACCCCCTTCCTGCCTACCGGGCACTTCTACCCCCTTCCTGCCTACAGGGCACTTCTACCCCCTTCCTGCCTACCAGACACTTCTACCCCCTTCCTGCCTACAGGGCACTTCTACCCCCTTCCTGCCTACCAGACACTTCTACCCCCTTCCTGCCTACAGGACACTTCTCCCCCTTCCTGCCTACAGGACACCGCTACCCCCTTCCTGCCTACCGGGCACTTCTACCCCCTTCCTGCCTACAGGGCACTTCTTCTACCCCCTTCCTGCCTACAGGGCACTTCTACCCCCTTCCTGCCTACCGGGCACTTCTACCCCCTTCCTGCCTACCGGGCACTTCTACCCCCTTCCTGCCTACAGGGCACTTCTACCCCCTTCCTGCCTACCGGGCACTTCTACCCCCTTCCTGCCTACCGGGCACTTCTACCCCCTTCCTGCCTACAGGGCACTTCTATCCCCTTCCTGCCTACAGGGCACTTCTACCCCCTTCCTGCCTACAGGGCACTTCTACCCCCTTCCTGCCTACCGGGCACTTCTACCCCCTTCCTGCCTACCGGACACTTCTACCCCCTTCCTGCCTACCGGGCACTTCTACCCCCTTCCTGCCTACAGGACACTTCTACCCCCTTCCTGCCCACCGGGCACTTCTACCCCCTTCCTGCCTACAGGACACTTCTACCCCCTTCCTGCCTACAGGGCACTTCTACCCCCTTCCTGCCTACAGGGCACTTCTACCCCCTTCCTGCCTACTGGGCACTTCTACCCCCTTCCTGCCTACAGGGCACTTCTACCCCCTTCCTGCCTACCGGCCTTCTACCCCCTTCCTGCCTACGGGCACTTCTACCCCCTTCCTGCCTACTGGGGACACTTCTACCCCCTTCCTGCCTACTGGGCACTTCTACCCCCTTCCTGCCTACCGGGCACTTCTACCCCCTTCCTGCCTACAGGGCACTTCTACCCCCTTCCTGCCTACAGGGCACTTCTACCCCCTTCCTGCCTACCGGGTGCTTCTACCCCCTTCCTGCCTACCAGGGCACTTCTACCCCCTTCCTGCCTACCGGGCACTTCTACCCCCTTCCTGCCTACCGGGCACTTCCACCCCCTTCCTGCCTACCGGGCACTTTACCCCCTTCCTGCCTACAGGACACTTCTACCCCCTTCCTGCCTACAGGACACTTCTACCCCCTTCCTGCCTACAGGGCACTTCTACCCCCTTCCTGCCTACAGGGCACTTCTACCCCCTTCCTGCCTACCGGACACTTCTACCCCCTTCTTGCCTACCGGGCTTCTACCCCCTTCTTGCCTACCGGGTGCTTCTACCCCCTTCTTGCCTACCGGGTGCTTCTACCCCCTTCTTGCCTACCGGGTGCTTCTACCCCCTTCTTGCCTACCGGGCACTACTACCCCCTTCCTGTCTACTGGGCACTACTACCCCCTTGCTGTCCAGGCCAATTTTCAGCTTTCAGCACTGCTGCACTTTGAATGACAATTGCGCGGTCATGCAACACTGCATCCATATGAAATGTTTATCATTTTTTTCACACAAATAAAGCTTTCTTTTGGTGGTATTTCCTCCCCGCTGGGGGTTTTAATTTTTGCACTAAAAACAAAAAAAGAGCAAAAAATTTGGAAAAAAAAAGTTTTATAAAATTCAGCAAACAGGTAATTTTTCTTTCACATGATGTGCACTGATAGGCGGCACATGGGCACTGATAGGCGGCACCGATGGGCACTGATATGCGGCACCGATGGGCACTGATGCGGCACGATGGGCACTGATAGGCGGCACTGATAGGCAGCACTGATAGGCGGCACCAATGGGCACTTTTAGGCGGCAGCGATGGGCACTGATAGGCAGCACTGATAGGCAGCAGCGATGGGCACTGATAGGCAGCACCGATGGGCACTTTTAGGCGGCACCGATAGGCACTGATAGGCAGCACTGATAGGAAGCACTGATAGGCAGCACGATGGGCACTGATATGCGGCACCGATGGGCACTGATATGCGGCACCGATGGGCACTGATAGGCGGCACTGATAGGCAGCACTGATAGGCGGCACCAATGGGCACTTTTAGGCGGCACCGATGGGCACTGATAGGCAGCACTGATAGGCAGCACCGATGGGCACTGATAGGCAGCACCGATGGGCACTTTTAGGCGGCACCGATGGGCACTGATAGGCAGCACTGATAGGCAGCACTGATAGGCAGCACCGATGGGCATGATAGGCAGCACCGATGGGCACTATAGATCTACAAGTAAGCCCAATTGAGGTGAAACGCCTCAGTTGGTGGGGGGGGGGGGGGGGGGGTATCAGGAGGGGACTGTGCTGGAAGCCAATGGCATGGTGAGACTTTATGGAGGGGCGGATTTATTCTTCCTAGTAGGACTCTTGTACTTGTTTTAATGACCAAATCAATAAATATATCTTTTTAAA